CCAGCTGGAGTTGAACCGTGGGTCATGGGTTAGCCCTACCCTGCCTTAGCCCACTGGACTATGACCGGGTAGGTCATTAATAGAATTGTATAATATAATATTAGTTAGTAAGAATATATTATACTAATATAAAAAGAAAAGAATGGATAAAAATTATGTAACACATATATATATATATATAAATTAAGAATAACATTTGAAGAAATAAGATTAGACATAACAAAAAAAATAATTTTAATTTTTAATTTTTTTTTTAATTTTTAAATACTAGCTGGATCTTACTTTATTGATGATTTGATACTTTATATATATTATATAGTGTATTGTACATAGTTTACTATATGTGAATAAAGCTATATCTAAGTTAATTTACAATACATACCGGCTTGTTGCTGTCAGCTTATCCAAGAACAGAGGTGTGAGCTAATGTGCCAAGGCTCCATTAGCTTGTAAATTTAGTTTTTGGTGTATTACACACTTTAAGTTTTATTTCTAATTAAAAATATATTAGAGGAAGTTAAAGGAGAACTGAGGGGTAGTATCTATTATGGCAAATAGAACTTCTGAAAATTAAGTACCCCTCTAATCCAGACCAGATTATAATATCTTTTTCAAAAAAAAGCACCCTTTGTAAGAAGAGATACCAGGTACCACAGGAAATGATTACCAAGCCTTCTTTTTCCTAAACTGGATGTCTTCTATACCTTTTTTGTTTTTTTCCTGCTTCCAGTAATCATCGTATCACCAACTGGATAATCGTCATGCCACAACATTTTTTCTGGAAATCACAATCTTAATATCTACCAAATCAGCATATGAATAGGCTTCTTATAAGAAACAGTACTTTAGCAGATCATGGTATTAGATACTATATTAATTCTATTTAACTACCTTCACCTGGGATTGATCTAATATCTTGTGATCTGAATCTGGGAGTACTAACCACTGTGTTATAAACCTACAGGTCTTAATAAAAAAAAATAATAATAGTAAAAATAGTATTATTTTTAATAAAACTATATTCTAATTAAAAATTTTTTAATTAAAATATATAATCGACATTGTAAAAAAGAATAAAATCTAAATTGATATTAAAAAAAAACTCTCACCCGTTCATCACTGATTCTTTGAAAATTTTCTTTTATGGTAATTTTTTTTGAAGAAGCACTTTCCACTCTCTCAATATACCATTTATACCATAAGCTTAAGAACATAAGAACTTTAAAGACCATTGTTGCATCGGGATGGGATCTTTGAACAAAGGTCAAGCAAGTTTGAGAGTATTGCTTGTTCTTTGTTTGTATAGGAAAAGGCTCGTGGCAGTCCTCTTTTATAATTCTGTCTTTATGCACCTCTTATTATTTATATGTCATTACTACCATTTTTTTATTAGTCCTCACTATTGCAAATTTATTCCTAAAATCATATTCAAGCAAAGTTACTGGGTCTAATGCTTGTTTTAACCAAACCTTTTCATTCATCTCTCACTTGACGCACAATGCTGCACCAACCCATTTTTCACAAAAACTTAATCATTCCCAAAAACCAAAATTAGTTCTACCTCTTCAAACAATTAACATATATTCAACAACCAATCAAACACTAGCAATTCAACATAATGACAATCAAACCGGCTCAAACCTGTTTATAACAATCACAATAACAATTTCACATCACAACACTTCAACAGTTTTCTTTATCAGTATAATAACAACCCCAACATCACAGTTATATGAAATATTGGATTTTTCACATGGCTTTTTCAGCCCTTAAACAGTTGCTTCATGATTTTACGGGTTCAAGCAACAAATCCAAAACCCAATCAATAACACATTATTCCCAAAAGCTGCCATTATAGTTTTACAGATCCAAATAGCATAGCCAAAACCCAAGCCAATAAAATTATTACTAACGACTATATCAACATAGCTGTTTATGGATGAGCATAAGCCATTTATGAACCACTGCAATTTTCTTTTCACTTACATAGTATTTTTTAGGATCTTGTAGTTAACATGTGATAGGCTAACATTAACTTAAATAGATGTTTAATATACTGATTAGAATTGTTTATAATTCAATAAAATCATGCATTTTATGCTTGTTTGCAGTAAAAAAAAAAAAAATAAAATAAAATTTAATTAACTTATCTAATCCAATACTTGTTATAAAAAAGAATGATTAAAACTATAAAAAAAAAATAATAAGGATTTATTAAAAGAAATAGACAATAGAAAAAAAAGAAGAATTAGTAAAAATTTAGTTAAATTATATGTTTTAAATAAAGAAGTTAAAAACTTATCTAATATAATGTAAGAATTATTCTGGAGAAGTATTAAATCCATTAAAAAAGATATTAACAATAATTTTTAAATTTTATAAATTCTATTAAAAAAAAATCTCTGGTAATATCAAATAATATAAAGTTAAAAATTAAAATTGTTACTAATTATATGAATATTTAATAGATTTATTATATTATCTTTATAATTTTTTATTATTTATATAATTATTATTTTTTTTGAAATATTAAAATCAAAATAAAATTAATAAATAAATAAATTGAACTATAAAAATCACAAAAGATTATATAATTAATTTGTAATTATAAAAAAAAAATTTTTTTAATTTTATTAGTTAAATTTAAAATATATTACTATTGAAATTGTAATAAAATATATGATATAATTGTATTTTGTTAAGAAAAAAAAAACTTTAAAAATAAATTTTATAACACAAATTTTATAACAAAATTTAAATAAATAAATAATTTTTTAGATTTTTAAAAACATATGTTTAAATTTAATATTATATTAATAATAAAATTTTAGTTAAATTGTATTAAATTAAAATTTTTCAAAAGTGAATATTTCTATTCTTTTAATAAAAGGAAAATTTTTTTTATACAGTATCTTACCAATTTAAATAATACAGTATATATACTGTATACATATTTGATAAATCCTTGTTTTAATCATTATTTATATAATATTAATATATACTTCTTATAGACCGGAGATTTTCACTACAGTCAACTCCCGATAATATGACAACCGGTTATTATGACATATGACCAAAGACACATGATCAGGAACCCCTACATTAGCACGCATTATTCTAATTATATGAATTTATTATTATGAACTAAATTTAGCTAAGGCGAAGAAAAATTTGTTAAGACGAAGAAAAAATTTGGTCTCGTTGCATAATTATTATTATTGTTATATCATGATATTGTCGTTACATTTTCTTTTTAAAGCGTAAAATAAATAAGATTTTTGTTTATTATTTTTTTTCGCTCAATTCTTTTTGATTTTTCATGTTATTTTTATTCCCGCCTTCACCTTTACCTCCACCTCCACCTCCACCTCCACCTCCACCTCCACCTTTATCTCAACCTAATAAAAAACGAACCCGAAAAGAAACCTCACCTATCGAAAAAAAAAAAATTTGTGAGTTTGCTGAAACCGTTGCAAATGATCCAAAGTGGACTCATCAGGCTATTGCTGATAAGTTCCAAAAGAAACGTACTTTTATTACTATGTTACTCAAACAAAAAAATAAATGGTTAAACTATAATATAATCCAATTAAATCAATGAATTCGTGAACGTACCCCAAAGTTTCCTCAAATCGAGAAAGGATTGTGGATGTGGTGCCTTGAAGCAATGCATGCTGGAGTTTTTCTTAATGATGCTATTTTATTAGAAAAGGCAGGTCTTATTGCTATGCAATTAAATATAACTGACGAAATTTTTAAAAAATCAAATGGATGGTTATCTCGATTTAAAGTACGCCATGGCATACATCAAATCAAGTTACATGGTGAGGCAGATAGTGCTCCGCTGGATGCTCTTCCTGAAATGCGTGCTACACTTCAAGAACTTCTTTCAACATATGCACCTAAAGATATCTTTAATGCTGACGAAACTGGACTTTTTTGGAGAATATTACCAAATAAAACACTTTCAATTGCACCACGTTCCGGCAAAAAAATAATGAAAGAACGAATTACAATTATGCTTTGTTGTAACTCATTAGGTACCGAAAAAATTCGTCCATTTATTATTGGTCACGCCAAAACACCAAGATCATTTCGTGGAATTAATATTGCTAATTTGCCAATTGATTATACATCTAATAAAAAAGCTTGGATGACGGGTATCTTATTTGAATTTTGGATTAAAAAATTAGATACTCAAATGCGTATTCAAAATAGAAATATTCTTCTTCTTATCGACAACGCACCTGGACATATCGAAAGTGGTCTTATGCTTACAAATATTACTATTAGATTCCTTCCACCTAATACTACTAGTCATCTGCAACCACTTGATGCTGGTATAATTAGATCGTTTAAAGTTAAATACCGCAACCTTCATGTTCGTTGGCTTCTTCAGCAATATGAAAATAATGTTATCAATGCACTTCCGAGTCTATTGGATGCCATTAACAATGTTGCCATTGCTTGGGATACAGTTACCATTGCAACAATATCAAACTGTTGGAAGAAAACTCAAATTATAACTACCGATACTTCTATGTCTATTAATATAGATAAACAAGAAGACCAATTACAACAGTTAGATTTGGCTTTAAATACACTCAAACCTTTAATAAATTATGAAATTATAGAATCTCAAGATTATATTGACATTCCTACCGAAAACACGGCTATTCACCATATGCTTAGTTTAGAAGAAATTATTAATACTGTCAGTCAACCTGAAAATAGTATTACTGAAAATAGTGACGATGAGTTGGTACCTTTAAAAATATCAACTTCAGTAGCACTTTCATCTATTAATAATATATCTCTTTTTCTTCAACAAAGAGACCCCTCCTTATCTACTCAAGATTGACTTACAGTTCTTCGTCAACTTACCCATGAACTTAATGAAATGTATATTACTAAAAAAGATTAGCTTTTATTTTTATATATTTGTGTAACTCATTATATAAATAAATATTTCGTTTTTGTGACATATTCGTTATTATGACTAACGGTTTGCCAAACAGTGTCATATTATCGGGAGTTGACTGTACCTATTATGTTTTTTTAAAATTTATGCAGGAGTTCTCGTGATCCGGAAATTTCACTCGAAAACAATGCAGCCCTGTTTGTAATAAATCTCTTTTCGTATCCGATAAAGTCAATTTGCATCGAGCTTGACAAACCATTATGGTTATACTGTAAATGCATTTGATCAGGAATTTTGCTCTATATAAACATGGACATTATTTAAATAACCTGATTCAAAAATAATTGGTTACTTTTTTTTTTGGTGCTAAAAAAATTGACGCGTATTCGCGTTTAACAGATCTGTGCAACAACGGATTTTCTGGTATATACAATTTATCAATCACCAATTCACAATACAGTTTGTAAAAAAAAAAAAATTATGCACCATGAACTCATCTAACTACGGTAGACCTCGTCGGCTTAACCTTTGTTACATTTTAGTAAGGGTAATCTTTCTAATTCATTTTAACTTTTTAGTTCTTCTTTCTTACTTGAGAGAAACTAGTAACCCGTCGTACCGTGTTTTCCTGGAACTCCACTGCAACGTCATGATTACACTACCGTTTTCTAATGAAAACTGGTGTCTTCTTGACAATACTTGGTATAAACGTTTTTTAAGAATAGCAGGCGATCTATTTGATAAAAAGGTACGTTTCTTATTTTGCAAAAGGAGAGCAACTTATAAACGAGCCCAGAGGTGTATTTTGACTCGGGGCCTCATATTTAGGAGGAGAATCAGTTTAGCCATAAAAATAAGTTAGGAGAATCTTTGTTAATCATAATTATATATGCTTAAAAAGTTATCGGATAATTATTTAAATTAATAAAGTATCAGCTACCTTATTTTATGATGTAAACTAGTATTTCTCTAATCTTTTAGTTAATTTCCAGAGCTATTCTTTAGCGAGACCGTTGATGTTGTTCCAAAAAGAATGCCAGAGTACTATTATTATCGAACCATGTGGTGGGAAAAAGGTGACTTCAATCCAAAAGCAAATTGGGAAGAAGCAACGTAAGTCCCTTTCTTACTTCTTATTAAATGTACTGTACTACCTTCGTTACTAAGTAAAAAATTAATGTACTATTAATGAATTACTCTAATAAATAACTAATCCTACTTTATCATAGGGACCTAGGAAATGAATAAGAAAAGTTGAAGAAAATCTTCCACGAAAGGGAAATACAGATCTCTATATCTACTCTCTTTATCTTATAATATAACATACAAATCTAACATCCGTGGATATTGGGAATGGGTTAACGGCGATGTTATAGAAAGTTTCGATCCCGCAATATTCGGAAGGGATTTTATTGTCGGAAGTAATTCGTAATACGGTTCCGGATCTGGACTATCTTCAGCTACGAAGTAAATCGAAATCATGCACCATATCAACTAATTAACTGCTGCCCGATAAGATCACGAGTTGGGCAGGATTTAAAGAGGAGGCGCGAGCGTGGCGATCAAGAACCGTGAGTAATAGGTATACAAAGCCGACGCTCACGGAGTTCACCGTTACCTGCGAAAAAGATATATGCACAGCATCGACGGTGAACATTCACAAAAACCTGACGCCACTAGATGAATTGATCCGTTTTTTAGATGGTGGTGCTATAGAAGATGTGGCTGGACCAGCTTTGCCCCAAGGAAGTCTGGATCGTGCATTTTTCTAGGGAGGATTCTGTCACATCCGACCCATACTGGCCATGTGAAAAGCTTCAGGATAGGGGATTAAACGTTGTCCACTTCTGGCACGATGAGAGTTTTGAGAATGTACGAATGAGTGCCAGGTTCCGGGATGCCACTGGTTGATGAAAATTTCGATGTGATAATGCCCTTCGAATATAAAACGAAATGGGTCCTAAGTGTACCTTCCAATAAGAACGTTGTTTCGCTTTACCTTCAGGAGAAAAGAAAATTTGAGGGGAAGTTGGCCGATTCCGAAGATACATCGATATACAGATAAGGATGATAATTCATCTAATGATCTTTCGGATAAGGATGATAATTCCTCATCTAATGCACTTTCAGATGAGAATATTCCAGTAGAAGTAGGGACAGAATTCTCAGCGAAAAATTAATAGAAAAAGAAAAAATGTACCTTCCTTAAGCCGAGAATTTGATCTCCGTGCACGAAGGGAAGTTAATTATAATGTTGGATCTTTATCGAAAAGGCGTCGTAAAAACAAGCCCGTATGTATGCTCCTGAGATCTTTACGAATGTATTATTCCATAAATCAAATTTATGGATACATGTGTGGAAATGGAAAGGTCCGTTAAAAAAAAAAGATATATTTGGAGTGCATAAAAACAATCACTATGAATGGGAAGTTTTAATCGGAGAAGTTTCGAATGGTCCATTCGTTCAGACACACCATCCACGACGATGACGACTTCGTTGTATGTGCTATCCTCTCCTGGTTCCATTATTAGCGATGAATTTATAAAGGCAGAAAAACACAGACACTATATGGATTACCTTATCGGTCCTGGTGTTTCCGAGTGGCACCTGAATGAAGATTCAACACGAGTAAACGGCTCAATCACATAACAAACTATGAGTGGTTGCGTGTGTCGGACGCCATTGCTAATACGTCAATGGAGCCCACTCTGTTAAAATCCATTTCCTACATTATATATCTTGCATCTAGAAATCGGTATTCTCCTTTCGTTGAAAAACCGATAATAGTACCGTCGAAGAATTATCCTTAGAATTATCCTTAGAATCATCGGATGAAAAGCAAAAGGATGATGAATTTCAATTTGACGGAAGCTTATCTCCTGAAGGATCAAGTGTTATAACGAGAAGCAAGAGCCGCCAGGCGCTTGCAATTTTGGAAACCAATGGACCTAACGTTATAACAGAGAGTCGGATTTTTAGAATATCAAAGATGTTAAAGACATCTTTTATATCTTTTATATCTTTTATATCTTTTATATCTTTGATATTTTTGTATTTTGTATCTTCTATATCTTCAGAAGTATGACCAAATGATATATATAACTGATGAAAGTACGCAAGAAAATAAGAGATACTTCTCAAAAAATTAATAAAATATTATTATACTTACCTATTCTTACGTCGCTCATTGTTCATTATTGTAATACTTGCTAAGCTCGCCAAATCTATCACGCCTCGATCGTAACGGATTTGCCGATCATTTCCGCCAACAATATGCAATATTCTAAAATTTTATAACTCTTCATAATCGAAACTATTAACCAGAAACCTTTATATTACTATTAAGTATAATAATTTTAATAAAATAAATTTTTTTATTGATCGATTTTATCTTTTCATACTTGATTTTTTCTATTGAATTTAAGACTACTCGGGGATCGAAGATCATCACCAGTCCTTTACAATGATTGTAATGAGATTCTTAAATTGATATCTTCGCAAATCCAACCCTTTTTTTCTGTCATCAGAGATGCCAAATCTCTACATTTTCAGAAATAATATTTGTTTTCTAGAGAACGAATAAAGCATCATATAAAAAGTTGTTATCAAATTAATATTTAATAAATTATAAATCAGATAGTATAATTTTACATTATGTAATCTACGTTGCCCGATTACTAACATTTTAAACCCGATGCATTTTATTTTTTAACTTTAATATACAACCATAATATAAAGACAGGAGCATGATTCATTTTGTGTGCTGAGCGCCTATGGTACATTGATAACAGCGCAATGGCCAGGGTCATCAAAAAATTTATTACAGCACACACCACACTCTTCCACACCAGTAGATATATTATGGGCGAAATAATTATTGTCGAAGCCTTCACAACGTCATATGACCTGTGGCGCAGTAGTCCCGAAGCTAGAAAAATTAACGAGTGGGCAGGGCCGATATGCACTACAATCAAAATTGTGTAGACTAAAAGTATTTTTTATTAATAGTTACACGTTACAACATTTCTAAAATTTGTTTTACTGTACATAAATTCTTCAAACATTTTCATTGTCACAAAAAGATTTCGTCCATAACTTTCTCAGTCACAAGTGAAATGTCATCATCCGGTAGATGTAACCACTCTTAAATTTTCAGAATAATTTTCAGTTGGGATAAAGGAACGGGTTTTCCTTTGTAATATTTCTCGTTCCACAAATTCATTTCGAATAACTGTAAAATAAAAATCTTCATATAGCATGCGATGACATCAAAAGAAAATGGAATTATACAAGAGGCCAATTCAACAGCCAAGTACTTTCTTTTGTCTGCTAGAGAAACAGCAAACAATGTAAGCCGTTCTATAAATTGAAAGCGATAAAGTTTAACATTTTTAGCATCCTCAATGTTGCAATCAAGGTTGTTGCTAAGGAGTCGACATAGACTGCAGATAGCTATTACTAATAGTTTTTTTACGTCACCAACTGTATGCTTTTTTGTGGATCTATACGAGGGTCCAGAAACTTCAACATTCAAAAGTTCTCGAGCGTCAGATAACCTGAGAATGAGTAAATCTGTCTTTCGTTCTCCAATATTACCCATAAACATAACGTTTTCTTCTTTGATTGATTCTCTACCCACATATACTTTACATCAGGAAACACTTTGCGAAATGCGAGGAGAATTGATGACAGGACTTCAATGATATAAGATCGTTCAAGCATGTCGCGGTCTATGACTTTTGACATCAAAAACTTAAACTTTGAGACAAAGTCTAGTAATGCATATCGTATGAAGAATATGAACCTATCCTTATCTGTTGTTTGATTATCGTCAACTTTGTCTCTGAAATTATTTTCGATTCGACTTCAGAATATTCTGATTGAAATATTTTACAGAGCTTTTCTACTATTGAGCCTTTAACTTTTTCATAATTTTGTTCTCTAATTGTTCTCTTTACAAGATGTATCGTTGTATTAAAGCACAGATTATATGTGCAGAATATTCATAATATGTTGCTTTCGTAATAATGGGCTTATTAGGCGTCACCATTAAAGTACGTGTGACTGAACGAGTTGTCGGACACTTTCTACATCCTCCAAATCAGATGACCTGGACTTGAGAATTCAGTGTAACAAACTGCAGTTCGTTTATGTTGGATAATTTTTTTTCTATTGAATTACAGCGTTGTTAGATGAAATCTTCTCATCGTAAAGTTTATGCTGAAAGGCTTTTTTTGCGAGCTCAAGCCATTTTTGTTTTTCGAGTCCCTTCCATTTAGAAAGTAACGTGGAGGCGTATTTAGAGACACTGTTTGACCAATCCGAAATCTGATTTGAACAGACTGCGAAACAATCATTTTCTGATAACCCTGGATTATTCTCCAGTAACTTGGTGACATAAGAATCTATGTTATGCCATTCTTCATTGGTCTTGCGAACAATCTTTTGGTTCAATGAAATCCATAATTTAATGAAATTTTAGTAGTCAGTCGGACGCGTATCAAATCCATTATTCCCACGCACGTGATTAGTAATGCAAATGTGGCAAGATGCAGTTAAAAAGTTGGTTTGAAACAATTTAGGTATCAGGTATATTATATTAATATGGGTCAAACGACTGCTCAGCAACCTCGCTACATAGCCCTTTTATCGAGGGATACCGTAACTTTTGTATGGTTGTGGTTGCGATATCTTTCACACTTTCCCTAAACCAACAGACCCAGTACAGACCCGCTCCAAGGCTTATGGACTTGCGACTCTGGGAGGTGTATCGTCATTCGTCTGCTGTAGCTAACAAAAGCAGAAACCTATTCACGCACATTCGCGTTCCACGAAAATTAAAACAACATGAGAATTGATTTTTGTGATTTTCAAGTTTATTATTAATTTCGGCTCTGATTTTGGGTGAGCTTTGCACGGCGTGGTACAAAAAGAAACACGTACCAACAATCTCCATACACAGAGGAGCATGTCGGGGAATATCGTCACGAGGAAGAACAAAGTAGTCAATGTCATAAAATATTTATTCTCCGAAATTTTGAATGAATACATCTATGCAAAGAAAAAAACCCGAATTAAAAATTAATCATGGGGAACGCACAGCTATTTAATAATGAGCAAAGATACCTTTAATTCAAATAAAACTAAGTGAAAATAAGTTCTGTGATGAATTCGATAGTTTGATTTCAAAAGATAACTGTGAAATTCAATTAATTAATGCGATTGTTTCGCTTTATTGATTTTAAATTTGCAAAAGGGTTAAGGTGACGGAAAAAATCAAATCTTTTATAAATTTATTGAAATAATTACATCAACTAAAATAATTATATTAATTAAAATAATTGCATCAACTAAAATAATTGTGTCAACTTAATTTTAATTAAAATAATTGTATTATTACAATTGCATTATAATTGTATCAATTATATAAAAAATTGTTATTAACTCAATTATTAAAATTTTTAATTTTAATTGTATCTGATTCAATTTAATAATTACTGCCACATGTATACATATAATCTTATTTATAATGGTTTATTATAATTTAATAAATAAATAACTTCAGTATGATTAAAGATATTAAAAAAAAAATAATACTAATAAATGGTTTTTTTTGCTAATTAAAATATAAGTTATATGATATAATTATTTTATTAATAGAAAATATAAAATTTATTTTATTTATATGGATTTATCCACATGATGTAAGTTGATATCTGGATAAAAGAAGATGGATTGACTATAGTTAAACTCAGTAATATTAACATATATAAGATTACAATATATGGTTTGAATATAATATTCAATAAAAACCATGACATTAAATGTCCATTTATCTTAAAAAAAAAAAAATTATTTTATTAAGAATTTAATTAAAAAAATTATAATTGTAATCAAAAATTAAAAAGAAAACAATAAAAAAAAGTTATAATCTATAGATTAATAGTATAATGGATAGTGTTTTCAGGTTTTCAAATATATATCTTTAATTCAATATCTACAAAAGCAAAATATATAAAATTTATTTTTTATTTGTGGATTTACTGATTTTTTTTACAAATGTAAGGCTTTGAAAAGTATTGAACTAATATCAAAGTAATATCAAAATAATATTGATTTATAATAAATTTAATATATATGTTATAATTTATTCATATAAATTTATAGTAAATTTAAGTATTAAATTGATATTGAACAGGTATTGAAGTAAACTGTATATTCCATGTCATACTATATTAAAACTAATAATGCAGTTGAATATAACAAAAGAGAAAAAATGTTTTTTTATTAAAAGTAATTTGAAGTTTTCTTTTTTTTTTGTATGTTGGCTTTTTTTCTCTTTAAAATTAAAGAAAATTCTTATTAAATTAGTAATTAATATAGAAGTTTTTATTTATTAAAACATATTTTTCTTTATTCTTTTTATTTTTTAGAACCATAATGATTATATTGAGATAATAGTCAAGGCAATAATTTTTTAGTTAAGATTAATAGTGTTTAATTAAAAAAAAGTAATTTTATTATTTCATATAATTATATTTAAAGAGTTGAAGGAATTTAAAAAATTTAAAATAGTTAATACCATACAGGTATAGCTTAATAAATCAATTTTCTTATAATAAAATAGTTAATAAATACTCTAATTAAATTATATGAAAAATATGATGGTTTTGATATTAAAGATTCAAGAATTATATATAAATTCAAGAATCATATATAAATTTATTTGACTTATTGACAGGTGTGTTGTAGCTTATAAGAATGTTTAATTATAATATAAAATTATGTTAATGTATTCTGTTTAAAGAGATTAATAAATACTCATAACCTGATTAGAGTAAAAAATAAATAAATAAATTTAAATTTAAATACTGTAAAATTTAAATAATAATAATTAAATTGATTTAAAAAAATTAAATGCAATTAATTTTAGATTTCAGATTGAATTAATTTAAAAATTTCCTGACAAACTTTTTTATTCAGAAAATTTTATTTTATTTTATTTTAAAATAAAAAATCACTTAAAATTTTATCACATGTATAAGAGCAAAAAATTTTGTCTTAAACTGTATATTTGTATTTTATGTGACTATGATTATGATCAAATTAAATCAAAATTGTTTCTGATAGCTTCCAGTCTTAATTGTTCTACAGTAGTTTCTGCCTTTACGTAAAATGGATAATCAATACACTATAATTAATATATTAATTAATAAACAAATTAAATTAAAAATTTAAAACTCTTTTTGCTAATTCCTTTGCCAATTCAAAAAACAAATGTTCTCAAAAATATTTTTTATTTTTGATAATAAAGTCTATATATTTTTCTTAATACCTTACTTCCTGAAAGCTGATGCTTCCCTATTTATTTATTCTTTCTTTTTTGAAAAACTTTGTTTATTTCAATAACAAAATAAACAAAACTTTATCCATCTGATTTACAGCAAGAACACCTTATTGAAAAGAAAAAACCTATTGAAAAATACTCTTTATAATATTCTTTTTAGGTCTGAAACTTTAGAAAGTAAGCCACTAGTGAATACATTTTCCAAGCTTTATAAGAATCTTAAATTCATCATAAATGAATATCTTGGATCTGAGGTAGGTAAATAAACTAGTTGTTACCTATCAAGTAAATATATTTTCCAAGCTCCATAAGAATCTTGAGTCCATTATAAGTTAAAAACTCCTGTAGTCCAGACAGATGGATAAGTTGATAAGAGTCTATCTATTCAGGTATATAATCTTTTTTCATTAGTCATACATGTCTATAATAATACTTTTAAGTGTGTTAAAACTTTCTTGGTTTTTTTTAAGAAATTTTGCCTACCTCAATTTAATTCTGAATTTTTTGTTACACCAGAAATTCTGATTAATAATTGATTGAAATCTTGGATTGATTGATCAATATATAAAAGAAATATAAACAAGATATATACTTACATATGTCTTATGTCATACTACATTATAATCAATGATACAATTGGATAAGGTAAAAAAGTAAGGTATTGAGGTATTCTCTTGATAAGAAGTGACTTGAAGTCTTTTTCCTTCTCCTTTCTTGTACCAGTTTCTTTTTTCCTTAAAATCAAAGAAGGTTCTCATTAAACTGGTAATTGGTTTTGATGGATTTTTATTTTATCAGTATAAACTTTTCTCTTTCCTCTTTATCTTTTCCTTTATTTTTTCAAAAAAAAAAAATTTTTTTATACTTTAGAACTATAGAGGTTAAGTTAAAGCAACAGTTTTGATAAAGAACTGGCTTTGAGATTTTAGAATAACAAGAAATATTTTTCTTTAATTGAGCAACTTTTTCATTCTCCTTAATCATATCTAGAGGCCAGTGTCTATTGATGGGTATATTATACAAAGTTGAAAATTTTAATCGTTGATAGTGTTACAAATCGTTAGTTGGAAAGTTTGGAATTAACCAATCAGAATATAGAAATTTTTAGTTGCAACTAGTTGATTATAATTAAAACAACTAATCAATTGGAAAAATTTTAACCAATTAAGATTACTAATCGTTAGTATATATATAAACGACACTATATGTATCTTGTAATATCTGTACTAGGATCTATTCAATCTTAGTGTTTGAAAATTAAATAAACTTGAATATATAATCTGATTAGATGTAAAAAAATAAAAAATAAAAAAATAAAATAAAAAAAAATTTAAAATTTAAAAAAATAAAAAAAAAAAAACTCTTTTTTACTTATATTAATATTTGAAAAAAATTATTATAAAAGAAAATCAAAAATTTTTTCCTCCAAAAAAATTTTGAAAGATTCTAAAAGGTTATCCTTATTCTTCAAGAATATTCTTGTTACCGATATTGAGAAATATTTAGTTATAATCATTTACAAAAATATTAAAACAAATATTATTTATATTACAACTTCTACTAAATACATTTGTTTCTCAAAATTTAAAAATCTTTCCAAAGCCTGGCTTATTCCAGTCTGCTGTTATGAAAAAGATCATAAAAGCATTAAAGTAATATTAATATCTTTCAAAACATATAAAAAAAGGCTTGGAAACCATTATACTGAAGTAAAAGCAATATTGCTTGATTCAATGTCTTTAGAAACCTTTAATCATTTCTTTAACTATCAATACATCTTTAATCTTTTTGATATGATAATAGAACTGGTATCATGAAGGAACTCTTTAAATAAAAACTCAATTATAACTTACATATTTCTTGAAATTAGGGCTTCTAATGGTACCACTTTGATATTTGTTCAAACCAGTTTGATACTTAAATTTACTATAAATTCATATAAGTAGATCACAATTCATATATTAAATTTACTATAGATCAGTACTATTTTGATATCACTTTGGTACTGGTTCAGTACTTTTTTTTTTTTCTCTAATCAAACTGCTATTAGTATATTTATTAATTCAATTCTAAATAACAATAATACAATATACCATATAATACTATACTAAAGCTAAATAATCTATTATAGCAGAATACTTGTCAACAAGTTTTGGATTAGTATATGATCCTTAAATCCTTAATACCAAGACCACCATGTTGCTTATATAACCTAGCTATTCACTAACTATTTTATTACAAGAAAATAGATTCATTAAGCTATTACTGTATGATACTAACTATCTTAGACTTTCCAAATTCTAACTCTTTAGATGTGATTGTAGTGAATGATAAAATTGCTCTTTTCTAAAGTTAAATGTCAAAATCTTTGCTCTAAGAGATTTAAGCCAGCTTACATTTAGACTGTCACTCCGACACAACCTTGTTGTC